TTCCATCTTTTCCATGTGGAGCAAGGAGGAAAGAACTATGAAAAAACAACATAATTCTATCAAAGTAATGATATCACAGTAAACCAAGATCTGAAATTTCTACAGGAACAACTAAAAGAACTGAAAAATCACAAGAATTTAATGTTTTTTGGCTGCTTTGTGGCTTGGGAAGCTCACAGAGTCTGGTAGAATAATTTCACCCATACAACTCCTATCACCAGGTGATTTCTTGTGGCCACACACGCAAGCTTAGCGTCTGATCAAGGAAATCATACCAGCCATCTCAGTGAAGCACAGCACGTTTCTGAAGACATTTATATTTCTTTGTATTACCACTAATACAGAGGGTAAGGCAGATGCTTCCAAGTTACTGTTTCACTTACAAGTTAGTGTAGATCTTTTAATTACATAAATTATGTTTTGAATACAATGGAAACATACATGTATCTTTCAAGATACTATTAGGTTAAAAAGAGAGTTGCACTATACTGACAATTAAAGGTTACTAGCAAATCCTACACTGGATAAAAGCAGTCATTTATTCTTATGAACATATAGGATTACAAACCCTTCCTTTGATCATAAACATATAAGTTCATGTTAGCATTTGATGTAAAGCGATCCTGTATTTAGTTAGTGCAATTGGTTGTCAAAACAGTCAAAACAGATGTTACTTCCATGACTGACAGCAGTAAACCCATCTGACACCATCTATCTGGAAATTCATTTCATAAATCCTCCATAGAAGAAGGCTGAAAATTCTAAAATCAAAATCAAACTGATGTATGTAACTTGTATTTTCAGAAATGCCACAGAAGTATTCAACAAAGATACACCCACTGGAGTGGGCTGAGAGCTCTCTGGAAGGGGGAAAACAAAACAAAACAAAACAAAACAAAACTTAATGGGATGAGAATTCCATTACAGTATATTAACTTTCTTAACTTATTTAGAATTTGCAACTAATTTTAAGTTTAAAACTTCAGAGAAATGCCATACATTAAACAGAAAAATATTTGTGTCTGACTCCGTGTAATTTAAAATATTATCCAAGATTACTATTTTAGATATCACATTAATTAACAGGACAATAAAAACTTTGTACCTACAGAACCTTTTCTCCCTCCTTAATTGTTTTGTTAAGAGATGTCACCAACTGTAGATCAACTTTATGGAAAAGTAGAATTCTTAATATAAGAATCCTTAAATAGCCATACATAATCAAAAATCCTTGCAATACATTCATCTGAATCAAAAACCCCATGCACCCACACACACAAACACACACACACCAAAAAAAAAAAAACCAAACAAACAACAGATGCTGAGTTATCATAGCAGATCATTAAATTAAGTATGAAATCTTCCCAGAAGATAAATCTAGACTAAAATTCATGTTTCTATGTGGAAGCAAATGTGCAGGCAATTTAAGTTTTAATTGTTGCTATACTGGTATTCAGCAGGACAATAGAGCCTAAGCCATTATAAAGGGTGGACAACGTGTTACTGTGCTAACTTTTATCTGACCAAAGTTCAGCCGGCCAGCAGAACTCTTGCTTCTTGAAGCCCAAACTACTGACATCAGAAATGTAACCACACAGCAAAGATGGTCCTGGCCCTGCAAAATTACCCTGGCTACAGAATGCAGCTATTACAAATTGCAACTACGTTGTTGCAGTTGCCTTCTGGAGATCCTGAGGTCACCTACTGGGTTAGAGGGAGTCACCCAACTGGACTCAAGAGCTTAGCAGCTTGGTCAGTGGCAGAGTGGCCACTCGAGTCATACGACATAACCACTCCAGCAGCACATTGGGAAAAAAGGAGGAGACTTCGGCACTATGAACCAAACATCTCACAGACACAGGTGATTCAGTGCTTCTAGAAACTCTGGCTTTTAAGCTTATACACACTGCTAGTATGAGGCAGCTGAGCTAAAGGAGCAGCTGCATTGCGGGAGGCCAAGCAAAGCTAATGCAAATGCTTACACTCTGTTTTCTTCCATGGCAAATTCTTCATATCTGGGACACTTCTACAACAGACTACTGTAAGGAGCCTGCACATCTTCACTGCTCCATCACTGAAAAGTAAATGTCCTTCAGATACGACAACTCTCCTTGATCAGGGTAAAACTTGCTTATATATATATTGCAACCATATATAGTTACAAAAAACTACATGCAAAATTTAAAAACATAATTTGACAATAAATCTTCTCTCTACATACAGCGCATAAACTAAGTTCATAGGAGTACAAATCGGCATTTTAATTAAAATTATCTATACACAGTAATTATGTGCTACATTAAAAATATATGTATTTTCTATATAATCCAAAGCCTCAGACCCACTTCCCTGTGTAGAGAAAGTAAAAATAAATAGCAATAAAACAGCTCAGTGTCTTTCCCTGATTAGCACTAGAATTTTTATGTAAGGGATATGCACAAATGAGAGCCACATTTTCCTACTTAAAACATAAAGGTCTCTATTGTTCCATGCTATGCCAGCACTGCTATGAAAACTTAATTTCTCTGACTTTTTCCCCCACAAGAACAGAAGCACTGTTCACTTAGCTGTTTCAAACAGAATGCATGCTCAAAGGGTGAGATAAGAGGAAAGGAAGAACAGATTACTATATTCATTTACTACTTACTGGTACGAAAGCTTCCTACAAATGATCATAATTCACTGAATTATTTCAACCCACCACGTATGTACAACAGGTTTGTGTATTTGTCACATCCACTGACTTAATTTCCCTGTTTGTGTAAAAATATCTATAAGGCTAATATAAGCCATAAACACAGAAATATTATTGCAGAAATAACACAACAGTAAAATCACAGGAAACAGAACAAATACTTGATTCATATTATACATTAAGAGATTAAATGCAGGGGTTAATAAGAAGAAAAGTATTTATAGTCACCACCTGGAAAAAAAAAAAACAAAAAAAAACACCTAGAAATGTGCATTTTAAAACTTTTTTTTTTTTTTTTTTTTTTTTTTTTTTTTTAAGAAAACACCCTCCACATTATAGACAGACAGATTGTTTTACTGTGTCTGTTAATCCTCTACTATAGCAGAATGTTTCCTACTTAAGTAATTATTCAGCAAGAACATCATGTTTATTTCTAGGCTGGTAAAGGTACTCCTACAGAAACTGCCTAATTAATGGCCTCACCCCCTAAAACGATTCAATATGGTGTGCCAGTGGTGTGAAGTGGTGAAACATTTATGCACATTAAAAGCCAAGAAACCCAAGTCACATCAGAAATGCCCCATGAAGAACCCTAAACACATCCTCACCTTTCCATACTTAGATGAACAGAAGTAACCCCAGACCTCAGCCACAAAATTTCTCCCTTTTTCCTCCAAAAAAAGCTTACAAAGAAAATATAAACACACTGAGTGGATACTGTGTAAGATAAGTACACGGCTCATATTAATTCCTTCATGGGAGTGTGACCACGCACCACGCAGTGCACGCGCTGTGCCAGCAAGTTTGTGCTTTCACAGATTAGAACAGTAAATACCACAATAACAAGCAGCGCCATAAACCTCCACCACCTGGCACAAAACAAATAATATAGATCTATTCATGCAGCTTTTCAATTGCCTATTTAAATGGAAAAATATTTTTTGAAAGATACTAGGAGGGCAAAACTGTCATGGAGCTCCAGAGCCATCAAGTCCATTCAACCGTAGCACTGACAAAATGTCACGCAATCCATTTCAGCAATTTAACAAATTCCACCATCAACATAATTCATTTTTCCACTGTTTCTGTCCTACTGAAGGCTGTTCCACAGTCTCATCACTAACTGCTAGAAGCTTCTTCCAGTTCTCAACCTAAGCGCATTGAGGACCGATTCATAAGCATAGCTGATTATCTGTCCTTTACCATGGTTATCTTCCTCTCCCCAGATGTTATTCATACAAAGAATCACACCCTCTATTTTGCTAAGCTAAGGAACTTCTCATCTTACTCCTCCTGAAGCAGTTTCTCTTGCTGTGATCATTCTGCTTACTCTTTTCCTTCTCAGTAGTCACATTTCAGATTAATCCTTGAGTACCAACAGCCAAAATCCCTTTTATAAAATCCACTGACAAGTACTTTATTTCTACCACCACAGAAAATCTTTCACTATTTAAAATAATATATCCTGGATGTGCTATGTTATTTCCACAATAACATTTTAGGCATTTATGATTTCAATTCTAAACTTAGAAAATTTTGTATTATTTCTTAAGAAAATAAAAATTAGAGCTATAACAGTGCATTGTTATATATTATTGAACTGCTGTGTGTATATTTTTTTCAGACAGAAGGATTATAAATATCTGTAATTTTGAGAAAATACTATATTTTTCAGAGTAACTATTTTTCACTATGATCTAACACTATGCACTTACCGTTAGATACAATTTATTCCAGGAAATGATTATAATGTTAATACCAATCAATAATAAAAAAAATACTATCAAGTTTTTTTAAAACATATATAAGCCCTATATATTCTGTATGTAACATAGTATATATTAATGTGCACGTGTTTGTTTGTACATGCAGATGTGTATAAATATAAATTTATATTCTATATATAAACTAAATGTCATATATGTAATATACAGGTATGTTATATGCTTATATATAAATAATACGTATTTGCACAGAAATTCATACATATTCATATGTGTATCTATACAAAATGCACATTGTATATGTATACGCTTATACTTGAGCATATCTATATATGTAGTTATATCTTCAATATAAATCTAAAATTATGCATTTTCCCTCATGCCAATCTTAAACTCAAATGAGTTTCTAAGGAAAAGACACTTTCCTGAAAAATAGTGTTCAACCTAAGGTTCAGCATGGCCAAGTGAAATATCCTATTGTTACTATGTTTACTAATTGAAGGCATTTTGTTAAATGAAATGTCATTCTGTTAGCAAGACTCTTGTAAGTGCAAACAAACAAATTATGAAAAGCTTACCTCATACCATAAAGAGGTCTCAAGAAAGGAATTAAATTCCCATTTTATTAAGCTCTGAATTATAGTTGGCTGTTCTGTTGTAATCCTAGAACGCTTCAAGCCACTGTTGTTGTTCCTCTGCTCAACGTAATTCCAAGCAACAGTTCCAATGTGCCCTGAAGGTAAAGTTCTAACAATCGCTCTCGTTCCAGTATAAACTGATTTTTTAACCTCCTTATCATTTTTACAGAAACGTCTTATTAATAAAGTGGAACGTTCCTTTTTGTTTCTAAAAAAATCCTCCTCCATCTCTTCTTCACAGTTATCATTGCAGTCTTCAAAATGGCTCAGAAAGGGCTTTGAGGGCATCCTTCCAGTAAAGTTATTTCCAAAGAAGCTGTGACCCGAGCACACTTTAACCTTTCGTGGTGCTCGTTCCAGGCAGAAGTACTTATCCCTTAAAGTGTCGTCATACAAGTGTTGCCCATTTTCATTCTCACAATTATTTGTCAACTCCACTAACGTGCAAGTGCATGTCGGGGAGCCAGTAGTGCTACTATTGCCAACACTTACTGGCTGTAAGCAGTCATTCAATATGAAGCCATTGTGCAATTTGCACAAAGCCTTCGATATATTCCTTTCACTAGCGCAATGAAAGTGAAAAAAGGCTACTTCATCAGTATCACTGCCATCACTCTTATTTGCTGCTGTCTGGCTTCTTAGTGAAGGTCCATTCATTTTAAACTGAATTTCAGCAAGCATAGCTCTTTCCAGTGAAACAGGAATTCCAGTTTCTAGGCACGCGTCTCCCCCTGCTAAAGGGCCACAAGATTTATATAACTGACCGCATGGAATATTGCTCTTGTAGCTTTTCTGCACAATGTTACAGTTAATGTTAAGAAATTTCACTGAATCAGAGATGGCGTTGTTCCTCTCCCAGAAGCTTTCATTAATATTGTCATCGGTCATTTGTTTATTTGTCAAAGTGAATATTTTGGGCACTGAGCCCTGAAGACTTTCTTCCTCCAGCCTGTGTAAATATGAGACAGCGCGTGTGGTTTGCCTTCCTGGACTGGCAGTGTGTCTTTTTATAACACTGGTGTCCAAAGCATTTTCAGTATTTTCATCTCCAGCTGACTGAGCAGGTATCACTTTACCCTGCACGACAGAGACCAGAACAGAAGCTGTCAACTCTTCAGAGGTCATCTTGACAGTCTTTAGCTGCTGAATGTGTGGTGGGGAGGGAGTGTCTACAAATCCTCACTCCATTATTTCTGCATAATGAAAGAGTCAGTGCTAAATAACCAAGAAACACATGATAAAACACATGCTGACTACTTGCTCTTTTTGAACCAGGGAAAAAAAGAAACAACTTTGTTGTTGTTATTTTACTGTTGGACTACAGGGCTCTCTTGGTTGTATGTTACTGACAAGAAATGGAAATGTTTTTAAACCAGCTTCTTAATGTAGTATAGCCTTTCAACTTGTCTCTTCCTACAATTAATTCTTCTATCATACGTAGCACATACATTGTTGCCTCAGGTTGTAGAAGACCAAACACATAATCCATGCCAAAGATATATCCACTCAATAGCACATCCAAAAAGTTGAGGTTTTCTGTAAAGAAAAGAAAAAACATACATATTTTAAATACAATCTATGGCTTAAAGTCCATCACCACAGTTATGACAAAAAGAAATTGTTTTGGTGTTATGCAGCTTTTGTTCTCAGTAACCTTTACAGTGTTACTGCGCAACCATGAACAAAACACAGTTTTTTGCCATAAGTTTATCACCAATAAAGACAAGCAGGAAGACAAAGTCAAAATACTAAAACATTGATGAAAAAATCCAGAAGGCTTAAAAATCAAACCAATTTGAGAAGTAAAACCTATTTTATTACTATGCCTATATTACTCTTCTCAATTTACTCTGGTTAACATTTTATTTTAATCTTAGAATATCAGCTTTCATCCTGGTTGCTGATCTTCATCCAAAATTAGTTTGCCACAAATCAAAAGATAAAATGCACGCTTTAGTTAACAGGATATCTGATATGCCATTTTCTCACAAAATGAAATGCTGAAGTGCAACTAAATGCAAGAGTTTTCCTGCAATTCATCTCAGGAGAAAGCAAAAACACATTTAATGAAAAGTTACATTCAGCTACAAATAGGATGACGTAAGGTTTGCTACCATTCTTTCATTCAGAAAGTAATTATAGTTAATGCATACAAAAGAAAAAAAAAACCACAATGCAATTTAATCCTTAAAACAAGGTTTCAATTTTATTGATGTAACAACGGAAGAGAGATGAGGGAGAGCTGCAAAGGAAAGTGACACTGACAGAACAAAGAGCCACAAGTTTCACATTCTCCACACATTACAACACTCGTGTGTGTGCCAGAGCAGCATGAGGATGGGAGACCCCAATCCTGGACAAGAGGAAGTTTTATCATCAGAAAGTAAAATAAAAGCTGGAGTTCATGGAAGAGTTGTGGAGAAGGAAATAGCATAGTTGGAGAGTGGCGGGGGCAGGAATTAAACTAGGATCATACAGTTCACAAAACATCCCATAAAATAAAATCCTGTGACAGTACAAGTGTAGAGAAGATGTGTTAAGAAAGCAACCCCTAAGCAATTCCTGAAGTCTGTATCCCATGATGGACTCTATAAAATAAAGTCGTATCCTGAATTTCATTTTTGTTCACTTTAAATATTTCATAGTGTGGTTTTTTGTTTGTTTGTTGGGTTTAAGCATAAATTTTTGTTTGGACTGTTTTTAAGAAAAACACACACACACACACAAACAAACAAAAAAAAAACAACCAAGAATCTTAGCAATAATTGTATCCTAACATTTCCTATCCTTTTTTCCTCTTTGGTCAAATCCCTAGATAGTAACTTCCATAACTTTTTAGGACCACACACTTGAAGAAAACTGAGAGCAACTTATCTAGAAATGCTCTGATTTTATTTCTTCAAGCCTAAATCTACATACAGCAATGCTTATCAAAGGGGAGGAAAAAAAAGCTAATACGCAGCTGCTGCTTCTTGATCTTTATTTTAGTCATGATTTTTTGTTGCTATACAAAATAACAATACTTCATAACAGATACAAAACATGCATATTTTAGTCTTCAGTATCCTTTGAAAGATTTCTTTCATCTATCTAAACATCTCAGTCTATTGATTCATCCTTCCTGTCTGCAGCCAAAAAATTCCATGCAATCCAATGAATATACAAGCAACTGAAAAATATTCACAAAAATACTCTCTGTAATACTGCTAGGCCAGAAATAAAAACTAACGGAATGGATTATTACTCCAAAGAATATACCATTCATTGTGCTAGTTGATCAATGAAATCCTTACTAAACGATGTCACTCAGAGAAGACCAAAAAAAAAAAATCAACTTCATTACACAACTTCGACAGTTTGTGTAAGTGAATTCAAGATCACAAAAACAACCACGTATGTTGAAATTCTTTCATCATTTTTTAATGGAGAAACTTTAAAATTGTAATATTAATAATAAAAAAATCACATTGCTGATTTGCTTTTTCAAACACAAAACTGCAGAAATCAGAGGTCAACTTACATCCCAGAGACTGCCCACCAAGCTCATCCAGTGGCCCAGATTGTTCTTCCAGGGTTTTCCCAAAAGCTTCCTTCAACTTCCTTCTCCTGTCTCTCTTGAGATCGGTTTCCACACATACAGACTCCAAACTGCTTCTATCAGACCTCTTCTTCTGCTAGAAAATTTCAGCCCAAATCTTCCCCATCACAGACTTTTTTGGTCACACTTCTCTCCAGCTCCAGAGGCTACATGCCTGCCTATCCACCAGCATCGCTCTTCTATATGTGTCTGTCTGAAATCCACTTCCTCAGGACTCATGTCTGCTTAAGAATATCTGTGTCTACATCCAGCTGTTCCCATCCTCTCATGGCCACTGCAATGTGATAGGAAACTGATCCACCTCAAGAATACTTTGCTTGAGTATCTTTACAGCTAGATCACTTTCCCAATCCAGTCTCTGTATGGCTGTGGGAACACCTGTGCTACAACAGCAAACAGACAGCACTGGGAAGAGAGGAAAAGCCTGCTTCAACTGGTTTACACATCTCTGCAATCTGAAAATGTAGTTCGATGTTTCAGCTATGTTTATCCAGCATCTGGCCATCACCTAAACTGGCAAATTCCCTCCTGTCTGCACTCCAGGCCTTCAAGTCCCCATTACTTCCCCTCACACATCTTGACACCACAGCTCCACTCAGTTAAGTTGATTCAGCCACAGGATTTGTCAGGAAACTTCCCTTTTCACCCAAACAAATTGATTTGCCTTGTGGTCAAGCGATCACTCAAACACACAGAAATAAAATATCAGAACTGCTTAGTAGGGACCGCACATCTCAACAGCTGATTGAGTTTAGATCATGCTTGCTATGATGTCTAAAAACCACCCTGAATGTAAAACCACGGAGTAAGAGAAAAGCTATCTAATGCATGGGTATGTTAAAATCTCATAAAACAGCAAGTAAAAAGCATAATGCCTCTGATCTGTAGACAACTGCAAAAATATCTCAAACTGAGCTCTGTTTAACAGATGACAAGGGTTTCATATGTCCTCCATTACTCTCCTCTCAGTTTCTGCTTTCCACTGTAATCAACAGAATTCACTTCAGCGTGCCCAGCAAATTCCTTAAACTGTTGGAATTCATTAGACATGTTATGAAGTATGCTAATAGTGCTATAAATGTTATCAAGTGTAGAACTCACAGCTCAAACAATAAAACAGTACTTTGCAACTTACTGTAAAATTGCAGAATTTTCACTCCCTATGCCTTCCTCTACCTGCATATCTGCATATGGGTAGCCAAAGCCTAGATCCTTGTATAGAAACCTCAAATATATAAGTGCATTTGCATATAAAATTATTTGAAACCACATTTTCCTGTCGCACATTCAGCTCAAAGCACACTGAATTCACAGCTAAATCTGCATATAAAAGCACACGAACTAGATGATTGAACCTGCATTCTATCCAACACATGCTAATATTTCCTAAAGCCAGTAGATTAGCTGACGAAATACATTAATAACCACACTGGTTCATTTTACAAGGCTCAAGTTATGTCAGAAACGTAATGTGCTCCTTCTACTCAGAAAAGGAAAGTAAAAATTTAAGAAACTAGATCCAGCATTAGTGAATCATCTTGGATTCATAGGTCAGCCAACAAAGACATAGGAATAACGAAAATAAACAACGTGACGACCTTTCAGCACACACATTCACAAAATATATTAAGCCTGAAAACACAGGACACAAAACCAATTTGCCTACTTTTTTTTCCACTGTTGCATACACTTTAAGACTAAAATTTCAAGCCAGCTCTAATTAGTATTAAAAACAATTAAAAATAATACTTAATAATTCCTAATTCCCCAGCTATTTGGGATTAAATATCACACAGACAAGGTAAAACATACTGCCAGAATAATCAGAGACTATAAAACTGGTATCAACTTAACCTTTAATTCCTTATTCAAGTTAATTTCCTTTCGAAATCAACAGAAATTCTTTTTCAGAGAAAATAATAGAGTATGCCAAGATTTACTGTGCTATTTAGCCTAAGTAAAGGTATCTAAAGGATCAGAACAGTCACACAGTGTGGCACACTGAAGAGCCTTTAGATGCTAGGCTGTCAGGGAAAAGATGACTAGCTCAACAGTTGAAGATGCTGGCTGCACTGCGGGAAGAAGCAGAAACTCTGTCAATGGCAAAGCAGGGCTACGGGCCTCATAGTAAAGATGAGGATTATTCAGAGAAGTTGCATGCTGCCAGAGATGCCAAACTCAATTCAGTATTCGTGATGCTGAGGGAGATTTACGGAGAAGTGGGTGAATGCCTGGTAGGGGCCAAGGGTATAGAGAAAAAGGAGGACTGACAGACAGATATGTGAGAGAACAAGGCGCATACCAATGGTTTCCACGGGCAAAGTGCTGCTAGAGTGGGATGAAAGGTAATTCAAGACAGCTGAAGGGCAAATGCAAGCTGCCTGAAAATCTCTGCTTCTTCAAAGGCTGTGCTGAGATGCTATTCCAGCTACGTGTTTTGTGTATATGGTGACCATTAGTCCTAAATTGAGTTTCAGCAGATCAGTAAATGCGGATGCAATGCACATGCTATAAGTAACCTACGAGTATGAGATTCTTGGGAAACAGTAAACTAGTGGAATATTTTGGCACGGGTTAAGTGCATGCAAAATCGTAAATCATTATCTCATACCACGCAGAAAACTGTGTTTAAACAATGTAATCTCAGCTTAAGCTCTTAAGGAAACAACTGATTCATGAGAAAGGTTGTTTGTATACTATGACTGCACATTAGCTATAAAAATGAGTTTATTCAGGTCTTTTTTATGAAATAAATAAACTTCAGTGTTTTTCCCAAAGTTCTTGAAAGGAGTAAGAAAACCACATTTATTGACTCCTCTTTAATTTACCCTTTTATCCTGTATCACACACATTACTAGTTTTTAGCTTAGTGTCTTATCTCAGAAAAAAAGCAGAACAGACTAGTGTAAGAACAGGACAACAATGTGTCACCATCAGT